AATTTTTGTGCAAAATTTTTCTGCACATGCATTTGAATATAAATTTCTGAGATTTTAAATCTGTTATTTTACCTTAATTTTAATTAAAAAATATTTTAAAACCTGCTGATTACCTATAGTATAATTAAATTTCAATATAATGCATGGCAACTGTTGGTAGTTTTGAAGTTTACATATTTTCTTGGCAAACTTCAGTTTTTGACATTTTTGACAGGTTTTTGACAGTTTAAACCAGTATTATACCCTTGTCATGTCAAAAACCACTTTTTGACGACAAAAACCCAACCCTGCCCCCCAAAAAATCTTTATAACATTGAAGGGCCCGTGAATCATACTAAGACTGTAAATAAAAAATATCCATGCTTTCATATTGAAAATGCTGCACAGGTCAAAAGTCAAGACAAAAAATATACACACTAACACAATTTGTGGAAAATTTTTATGTTACCTATAGGGGTGATTGTGAGCCCAACTCAAAAATCCCGAAACTTTCTTGACTAAAATCATCAATGACACAGTTCAAAAATTCAATGTCTTTATAAATTCAAATTATTGACATTTTCACAACACGAATTTTTTAATAAACTATATGCAACAAAATGTAAATTAATAATTATGTATAATTTTACTTTTATCTCTAATCACATTAACTATTCTACCAGAAAAAATATATACTAATGAAAGAGATGCCATGGATAAATTCTAGTTCTAATGTTTTTAAATAAAATATACAAGAATTTTCATGCATAAATGTGACCTATGATTTCTCGAAACTTCTGGACCTGGGATTTCCGGACCGTGGTTAGCGAAAAAATATGGCATATGGCCAGGACAATCATCTCTGCCCTTACTTTTTAAAAAAAAAATAATAAAAAGTGCAAAATCCATCCCTTCTCCTCTGATCAATATTTATTTATTCATTATATCAATCAATATTTTTCAACATTGTCAAAAATATTATTACAACTATTAATGGAGAAAAAAAAAAACATGTAGTCAATAACTGCCACATAATAAAACTTTCAGCAGTGAAAAATTTAAAAAAAAAGAAAAAAAAAAACACAATTTATCAATCTTAACCTGCAGACCAATCTTGCAGAAATCTATAAGTAATTCAGAAATTAATTATTGCTAGTTTTTTTAACTGAGATTTTCAGCTCACAGAAGTTTCATTTTTATCATAAATATACATGGCAGAATTAATAAATACTAATTAAACAGACCTGATATAAGCACAGCATTAAAAATTATTTCAGAAAGAAATTTCAGACATGTTTAGAACTACTAATCAGATACATAACCAAACAAGTTGGATTATAAATATAAAAATTTTTTTGTGAATGTTCTCTAATTTACAATAAAAATGTTGAGACTATTAAATTGTTAACCATGATGAATTATTTATAATTAGATGAAGAAACTAATTATTAATTAACATTGACCATTGATTTATATATATACACATATAAAAAGAAACTTTTTCAAAAAATAAAACAACACATATTTTGTATTGACTTTGACACATAATAAATATATAGAGCATGCCATGTTACTTTGAAAAAAGAAAAATACAAACTAAAAAGAATTATCTGCTGCACTTAAAATATACTTTAAAAGCCAAAAAATATAACTAATGTATGATATCGCGTAAATTGAGCTTTGCAATAAATGATTATTAAAAGGACAATTCTCACATGTAGAAATAATACCAAGTGAGAAATAACGAGAATTTTATTAACTCCCATGGAAACTATCAGCACTAGAAATAAAGACAAAAAGGAAAAAAACTATGAAATCGACACAGTCAAAATAAAAAAGGGATTATAGTTTCTCATGTAATAAAAATGCATAAAAAACACCAGATTAGTTTTCAAATTTTTACAATGAAGTCGAAAGAATGGCTGAAATAATGGATTAAAGGATACTCAGCAATGGATTAAAGGATACTAAATGCATTAACCTAGCATGTTTACTTGAATCAGCGATATGAATATCACGATTTAAACTTTGCTTAGTGCAGTTAAGTTTTATTCTTTTTAAAAAAATTGAGGTAAATAATGTCAATAACTGAACATCGAAAAACATTGGGACATCAAAAAACCCCATTAAAATTTCTTTAACAGCAAATACGAAAAATACAATAAAAATATTGCAAATATTAACGACATATTTTGAGTGAGTTAGGAGCAACTAAAATTTGTGATTGTAATATATTAAAAATATAATTAATAGATTTTATTTCAACCAAATTTTTAAAAGGACTAGTATCATTCCTTTGCCACAAAACAGAAATTATATCAAATTCCTACAGTCATATTTCATTATTAAAATATATAGCACTCTTTAAAAAAATTAAAAGAAATAATATGAATATGACCTCCAGAGCTCTTTTTACTTTTCTTTTTATTAGAGATCTATGAACACCTGCACATATTATCCAATTGAAATTTTACTGAAACCAGTCATTATCAAATTTTCTTTAAATACTCTTGAAGAAAAAGAAAAATGACACACATTTCTAGAGAATATAAAAATCTTTTAATATTTCTAAAGAAAAGAAAACCAAAATTTTTTACTTCTCGGAGGAAAAATATTTCTGCTAAAATGCTACCACTGACACTCCATATGTTTCTGACACCATTTGATAAGATTAGTTTTCAGGTTTAATAACTATTCAGGGGTCCGTTCACGGACCCTTCACAAAATATTTCTCCATAAAAACGGACCCTTCACATTAAGATTTTTTTTTAAATCGGACCTTTCACAAATTTGTTTATCTTCATTATTGTTTTGTTAATTGAATAAACCTTTCCCAGGGCACAAAACAAGAAAGATGGATGTAAACGAATTAAGTTTTGTCTTCGGCAGACGATTCTTCCATTATTCGTCGGAAATTAATATTCTGTGTTGTGCAGTATAGGCTAAATACCAAATATTTGTATGTTGCATCTCTAATTTAGAAGCACCTCTAATTTTCGAAAAATTTTTTTCATTTTAACTTTAGTGCCAAAATAATCTTGTATCTACCTATTTGCACAAATTCATAAAAGCAGACCTTGGTTGAAAGAATGTGAGTAATTTTTTTTCACAAAATGTCTAGACAAATCCCTGCTATCAATAGCCATATTATAGTAGAATTTCAGAGACGCTGTCACAGTTACACTCAAATATAGTTGCACAACAACATATACTATTTTATTATTATTTTAAGATATATTATCTAATATAATCACTCTTTTAAGATATCATACTAACTTACCTCTATAAAATTTAAGCAACCATCTCTGGGAACGAATGCCGTGATCTTTTTACCATTCTTAATTAACTGTACTCTCACACACTTCCTAATAGCTGAATTAGGCTGCTTAGCTTCAACACCACTAAAGGAAAAAATAAAATAAAAAACACTTAAAAACATTCTGAGACAAAATTTATAATTCAATATTTTATTGATTATACAATTTGTTGGGAATTGAACAGTTTTTTTGATTTCATGCCTATTTTTTTAATCATAAATACAGGGTATCTGCTACATTTCAGATTTTCAAATTCATGACTTTTTATGATTTTCCATGACTAATTTCAAGAATTTTTCATGACTTAACGAAGTTGCAATTTTCTCCAACAAAAACGCAACAATTAAAAAAAAAAGCACTATAACAACATTATTCGAAATAGGTATAACCAAAACTCTAATCTTCAAATACGCATCTTCATATTTAAAGATTTTAAACTTAAAAACAGAGTAAGAAAGAGTTGAAAACAATAAAACAGCCGAAAAAAATACAAAAGCAAAAAAAAATTTTCCCTGCAAAATTATATTCTCAAGATCCTTTTCTTGTTAATCAGAGAGAAAAGAAATACTCCCGATTTTTGTGTGCATTTCGGAATTAAAAAAATTCGCCAATACCTGCTTTACTTCAACTAGAATTTTAAATTGATAAAATTTTTTAAAAAATAATAATAATGAGAATTCTTAAATCACAGAAGATAGTTTAAAGGATAATTCGCTCTAGAAATAATATTTTTTTGTTCATTATTTGAAAGAACACCATAATTTTTAAAGAGCATGATAAAATCATTTTATATTCAAATAAAATGTGACTGAGAGGTGATTTTGCTAGAAATTCAGAATAAAAGCTGAAAACTTTCATGCCTGTTTTAAACAAACACATATCAGACATATTTAAACAAAAAATATTTTTAAAAAATTAAGAGCCACCTGCAACATCTTTTCTTTTTCTGAATTGGATACAACAGACAAATTCAGTATATTCAGAAAATCATATTAAAAAAATAAACATATGCAATACTTTCAAAACTTATTATCTTGAATTAAGGAAAAATGCTACTGAAATAAAATTTCAGCAAGGTATAAGACAATACAAGAATACTTTTAACATGGTAAATATTTGCTACATAATCTAATACTTACATTTTTTCAAGTACAATCCCTTTAGCATGAGAAGCACCTGCAAAAGGATTAGCCTTCCAGCGAGTTCCCAAGTGAGCTTTTTTATAGTTCTTATCATGCCATCTTTGATCTCTGCGGTGATCTCTGTGTTTACGGGCAGTACGAAGTCCTCTTGGCTTACCTATATATAAAACAAGTTTTAAGAAATAGTCTTCAAACAATACTAAACAGCCAATAATTCCAAACTAGTAAATGAACAAATACATTAATAACTATTAAAAATGATTCAAATCAAGGACTAAATAACAGAAACCTAGATAATTGATCTTTTCTTCTTATTATTATTATAAAACAAATATAAATTGATATTTAATTTGTGGAACATCGTTATGGTCCCATGATCATGAACTACATAGCAACGCTAAGCCTTTTTAAAATTCTCTTGATTTGTGTAATTGATTTTGGAATATTTAACGATCATGCTATTTCATTAAATTAAAAACCTTAAATCACAATTAAAAATCTGATATGAGAGTTGAAAATTAAATTAACAAAAAAATGTTAAAAATATTTAAGCAACACAAAAGAAGCTGACAAATTTAGGATCAATCAAATATTATTTTAAATTTATCACTCCACAGCAATAACAAAATTTCAAAAAAAATTAAAAATATATGTAATAAATAAAAGATAACTAAGCATCTTTAATGAGTTTTTAAAAAAGTTTCAAGATGGTTACAATTAAAATCACTTACAAATACAGTATGAAAACAATAATCAAAATATAAAAGGAAAAACAAATTCAAAATAATACTAAGATCAATAGTAAAAATTAAGTTCTTACCCATACTGAACTAAATTATTGTATAAAATATCTTCTTAAACAAATCCACGCGATTCACCGCAAGTTGGACCACAACGTGTAAATTCTAGGCTTCAGATCAGAGGATGGAAGTAGAAGTTTATATCGAGTACAGTTTTGCTGCCAAAAGCTTACTTTGAAACTTTTCATAAAGTTTAATGAGACATTTTCACTGCATTTAATTTAAGCATATCTAAAAAACATGGAGATAAAAATTATCGCATGCGTTCATTAAAATTTGTTATCTGATCGGCACCTTGGGGTTATATCTTAAATTCTATTCTCACTATATATGGTTCATGAATGCGATTGCATCACTCTGGCTCCTGTTCTTACTATTTTAAAACATTCATATTTACATGGCAGTGAGAATGGTTTTTTAACAGATGCATAGCTCTGAACTGATGGAAACCCAGTTCCACTGCTTTGTTATGGGAGATCGAAATGGGTGACAGGTTTCGTAGATAAGAAAACTCTCTACTTGTTCTTAGCCAACATTTCATCATTACGGGGTCTCCCGGTTGAGCGATATTGCGCGCCAAACGCTTTGCTAAGCGTGGAGGTGGCGGGTTAGAATCCCGCCGTAGAGACCTGTATACATTCTTTGTGATGTTCTTCTCTGTATTGTGCTATGTGTCCTTTTACTTGAAAATGGCTTATTACCCTTAATTGGGCACACAAGCTTGTAAATCTATGCTGTACCAATAAATAAATAAAAACAATAAGTGTGTGTGGAGAGTCATGGGAAAAGTATTTTAGTAGGACTGTCTTTACTTCTTTCTGAGCAAAATATTTTTGCATCAATATTTTTCTTGCTTACAAATAAACGATTTCTTTTTTTTTCTTTTTTTTTTTTTTTTTTAGACAGAGTCTCATTCTGTCGC